CATCCTTGTCTGCACTTACCACATTTCCATTCATTTTCACATTGTGCATATTCACATGAACCTTAAAATGCAGGAACCATCCATTACTTGCAAGGAACATGTTCTTGCAGCACCTTCATCAACTTTCAGTTTCAAGTCATGAAACAAACTCGTAGCCTTCTCCTGGATCAGCATTAGGCAAAGTGGCATATACTACTGATACTGTTTGATCCACATGCTGAGCAGCATTTCCATCTCTTCCATCACTTTTCCTCTCTTGCTTATTGTGGATTGTATAGGCAGTGAACTTTTCATACATTCCGTGATTTTATCTTTGCTTTTAATTATTCTAATTATTGAACAATTCATGCCAAATAAGCATGCTACATTCACCTCTATTCTCTTCAATATGTCTGCCCTCATCTGCATTATAAATGCAGATGAAAGTGGATATATTGATGCTTCTTTGTGCAGCCTCCTCTGTATTGTCAGTGGTGTTCACTGCAGACATTCACAGTCATCAAACATCGGACACACAGTCAGGCAGTCAGCAGTCCTGGTCTGTTTCTGAATGGATCTGCAAACAGCATGTGAGCAGAAGTCAGGAAAGGGTTAGTTACTGGCATGCAGCATATGCATGTGATGTGTTGGAAACTAACCTTTTCCCCATCTCCTCCTAACTTCAAGTATTTTCTAGGATGGGCTTGACTTGCAGATTAGTTTGTTTACATCAGTGAAAGTTTACAATTCAAAAGTTCATCAGTAGACTAATATTTATATTACCAAACTTTTAAAATTTGCACTGAAAGAAACGCTTGGAAATTTGCTTTTACTGCCTCTTTCTATGACCTATTGGTCAAAAATAACCTCTATATTTGATTGCAAAAATTTGAATGATCATTGATTGATTTTGGTTTTATACTATCAAGCTGGTTCTGATTCCTAGTGACTACATAAGCAGACAGTGAGGGTCGGGTTTGTCACATCCACCTCCCTGAAACTTTGCACTGGCTTGCCATAGGGCTGTGTGCTCAGTCCCTACTTGTATTCACTGTACACACATGATTGTGTATCGTCTGATCCATCCATTGCGATCATTAAGTTCGCAAATGATACCACAGTATTGGGTCTTATTACAGGTGGAGACGAAACACTGTACTATCCTCATGGTGTCTAGAAAACAACTTGCACCTGAGCATCAGCAAGACAAAAGAGATGATGTTAGACTTCCGGAAGAAAAGAGAGGAACCCACCCCATTTTACATGGGGGGGGGCTGTGTGGAGAGAGTTTCCTCCTTTAAATTCCTGGGAGTCTACCTCAGCGAAGATCTCACCTAGAAAATCAATACAACCCAGGTGGCCAGAAAGGCCCAACAGAGACTCTACTTCCTTAGGGTCTTGTGAAAGAACAAAGTGGAACAATGACTGATGACCTTCTTTTACTGGTCCACTATAGAAAGCATCCTCTCACATTGCATTATGGTGTGGTATGCTGGCTTTCCTGGGAGTCTACCTCAGCGAAGATCTCACCTAGAAAATCAATACAACCCAGGTGGCCAGAAAGGCCCAACAGAGACTCTACTTCCTTAGGGTCTTGTGAAAGAACAAAGTGGAACAATGACTGATGACCTTCTTTTACTGGTCCACTATAGAAAGCATCCTCTCACATTGCATTATGGTGTGGTATGCTGGCTTGACAGCCACGGATAGAAAGACATTACAGGGAGTGGTGAGCACAGCACAAAACATCTTGAGCTGTCCCCTGATACCACTAGATGACATTGCTAGGGCCCGCTGCCTTAGAAGAGTGAGGAAAATCCTCAGGGACGACTCACAACCTGGTCAGCACTTCTTTACTCTCCTACCATCGGGTAGGAGATATAGAAGCATAGCCAGCCGCACCAACAGGCTGAAGAACAGTTTCTACCCATGGGCAGTCAGACTTTTGAATGGGAAATAACTCCATGTATGATAGACTTGTGGGGCCAGCGCGATGTGCAATAAATTCACATGGTGCAATAAGACTGTGTGTTTGTTGTCACTGTGAGTTGTGTCGGGGGGGATGACGAAGGGAGGCTTAGCCAATCTCATTGTACACCTGTTGTACTTTGACAATAAAGGTTGATTTGATTTGATGAACATTAGCATCAAATGAGCATCAGGTAGCAGCAAATAGATACATAACATGGTACTCCTTTGTTTTTAACTTGTGATTATCTGGACTTTTTCAGTTCATATATGATAGCTCTTCCAGGAAAGGGGCAAGGAAAATGGATGGAAAAAATCTGCAAAAAGCTGAAGATGGACAGTGGGCAAACATTAAAATACCTAGACTATGTAATATAATTTTGAATATCTAATACTAGAAAATAAGACATAAGCATTTTTGTGTTGGGTCATGAATGTGTATTTCAGAGTTACCTTTTAGAGTATGTTGCGGTTCAATGCATGTTTAACAGGAAATAATAACTATATGAATTTTAATCAAGACATTTGATGGCGATATCACTTTTCAAATTTTAAGGGTGCAGTTTGACATTTTTCTGTTGCTTCCCTTTCCATATAAAATGTCTCAAATGCACATTGTTCCCCCTATCCCCATTCTAAAACACAGAGTTATTTTCCTGATTGGTTATGTGAATTTGTCATATTTTTGAAGAATTAGTTATAAAAAATACCCAGTAAATGCATATTGTATTGGTCACAGAATACGATGCTAGGCATAAAGCATACATACAAGAAAAGTGGGCAGATTGATTACATTTATCTGCATTATGTACTTAGTTTATAATTCCGTCTTCCTATTGAGTTTTAATACTTTACAATACAGCACAATATTGGCAGGTGAATTGTTACTCACTCTAAAATGTATTCTAAGATATAATAGACAGATGACTTTCTGTAGTCTTTATTCTCTCTGACACATATATATGTATGATGGTTAGTAACTTGCTCACAATAGTTATTACCCTATTAAACCTATACAGTTAACAGAAACCTAATAAAAACAAATTGAGTTTACTATCTTTTGTCCACCTTGCAAGTGAGGAAACTAGTTGGTCTGCACTGGTAATCCTCAAAAATTATAGATTAATTTTGAATGCCTGTGAAGATTGCCCCCCATCCCAATAGTTATTTGAACTGTAGCAGTCCTGGAATTTTGGGCCAATGGAAAAATACTGGCTGATGCAAAGCATAAAGCCAACAACACCCTAGTAGGGGCAGCAACCCATTAATTGGCAAGTGTTCTGCATTACAATCTCCATAATTACTGGCTCTGGGCTTTCCAGCATAGGACCCTGGAATATATTAAGGAGTCACTTTTCAAGTATAAATTAGAATTACATAAAACATGGGAAATAAGGTTGGTTGAGATAGATAATGTGAAATGTGCTTCTATTTCTTTTTTAAGAAATCAAGTGCCCCATACATTTTTCAATATATTCTCACATGTTTTTTTCCTGGTGTCTCAATATCTTGAAAATCTTTTAACATATCTTTTCACAGGGCTTTTCTACTGGCACCAAATTCTGGAACTCTTTTGATGGTATCTTTCTAGCACCTTGCTCATTTATTTGAGCTCTCACAAAAAGTACAAAAAAAGATTGTTCTTATACGGAGGTACATTTTCGTTTCGACAACTGGTTAAATGCATATATTGCTTTTAGTTAAATTTTGTTTAATTAGTTGTATAAACTCAACTGATTTTATAAATGATGGTTTATGTTTACAGTATATGATATGTGGAACCATCAACTGTGATTCAACAAACCATGTTCAACAACCCATGGTTTTGCACAATCTATTCTATTCTATTCTATTCTATTCTATTCTATTCTATTCACCAGTGTGAGATCAGATATACACACTAACTGCATTAAGCCACAATTTAACCATAATTAAAAACATTCTGCTGGATTTGCAGAGCACCCTAAGTTGTAAACTGTGATTTAGAAATCACAAGAGCTCTACAGGAAGACCAAATAAACCCTCTCCCAGTTTAGTGTGCATGAACCAAGTGACTAGCCTTCTGGAAGGAAGTAAAGATATGGTTTTGCCATCTGGCCTGGTAATCTGTAGTGGATGTATAGCCTACAGAATGGCTATACTCATCCTGACAGTGATTTTAGATTATGGTCTTTTATAGTCTTAATCATTATTGTTTTAATCAGGGGTGTCACACTCGTGACATCATGTGACATCGCACAACGTATTAGGCCGGTTTTGCTGGCAATGAGATGGGCGTGGCTTCAGTATGATGAAACTGGCCCACAGACCAGCAGTTTGACACCCCTGCACCAAATGAACTGTTGTAAGTCAAATAAATAATAAAAAAACTTGTATGTAATTAGGATTGCTGTCTTTTAAAAAAATGACCAATAGCCATTTTCATTTTACACAATGTACCATTGATAGAGAGCTGTATTTCTTAACTGTATTAGATCACTCTCTAAACATGTCAACACATCAACACACAGAATCGCAGGGAAAGCATCTCAAAGAGTTCAATGAATCGGAATAGAGCTGGAAGGGATCTTGGAGGTCTTCTAATCCAACCCCCTGCTCAAGCAGGAAATCCCCATTTCAGACAGGTGGCTGTCCAGCTTTTTCTTAAAAACCTTCAGGATGAAGCATCTACAATTTCCTCATCCCTCATTGGTACCTAGACTTCTCTTAACTGCCCACCCTATGTTTCAAAAGTCAAGGGAATCGCCTTTCCATCAGCTAGGGTTTCCATCCACGGGTTTTACTCCCTACCTGCAAGTTTTAGGTTCAGCTGCACACTACATTGACTGACCACAAGGCTTTTCTCTGACCTCTTACGGAGCAAGGTCACAGCAGCCCTGGACCTGTCTTCTCTACGCGAGTCGCCGCCACCTCAGCACCCCCAGAGCTTCTCAGTGGAAAAGCGTGCCGGCCTTCGCCATCGCCCCCAGGCGAGGCGCGAGTTGTAGGGGCGGGCTCTGGGCGTGTGGGCGCCGTCGGGAAGGGGCGCATCTGATTGGCCGAGAGAGCGCAAGGTGAAAGGGCGGCCTAGACGCTGAGGACAGAAGCCCAGCCTAGCATGATGGCGGCGGCGGCGGCCTCTCTGTGGCGTGGGAGCGCTTGGCAGCAGTGGCGGTACAGGATTCTGGAGCGGTTCTCCGTGTCGCAAACGGTGAGGCGGCAAGCGAGCGAGCGGTTGGCTGCTACTTATGGAATATCGCCCACAGCGGGACGGGAGCAGGCAAACAGGCAGGCATTTTCTCGGCAGAGCAGCCTAAGGCACTGGAGACCAGAGCGCCGGTACTTCTGTGGGATGTCTCGGCCTTCATTTGGGGCAAGGCTGCATTTGCTGCGCCAAGATCGGTCTGGAGGGAGCGGGTGGATTGACATGCCCATGAACCTAGCAGATGGGACGCCTGGCTGGAACTGGGTCTTCGTGGGTCTTCGCTTGCCTGGCTGGAACTGCTATGTTATGCTGTCTGGCTTTTAGGGACTACAACTCCAATCCGGATAGGCATTCTGGGTGTGGTGGATGGGATCTGTCTGGAGCGTAAACTGCATTAGACTGCAAGACGGAATGATCCTACTGTATATGCACAGGTTCTGCAGAGGGAGGAGTGCATTAAATAAATTGCTCGGGGAGAGGCTTATCTGTACCAGTTTTTTCCTGCTTGGTCTTGAGGTTAGTGCTGGTTAAACATCGCAGCTGTTTCTCTGTTCTTGTGTTAACATACGTGAAAGGACCTGATGCATGGCAGCTGAATCAGATAAAATGCAGAAGAGAAGAAACATGTTTTAGGTAGAGTTATGGAAGTTTAGATTTCTATCATGAGTATAGCCTCACACTTTATTTAACTGCATGTATTGTTGAAAGCAGTGCTACTGTATATACACACACAGGCACATACATACACATACATACATACACTCATACACATATGTATTTTCCTTAATCAAGTTGATTCCAAAAGTGAGCTGGTGAAAGGTACTTTGCATGTTATCCTCTGATTTTTTTTTTTTTTTTTGGGACAGAAAACCTTTTGTAGAGGTGAACAAGAAGCAGTCTGAGCAGTCTTGCAAACAGCCAGGGTCAGGCAGATACAATTTGTCTTCTGTAATTTTTAACTGGGCTCTTAATAAATAGTAATCACTTCTCTTCTGTTTGTTCCTTGTTGGCTATACTGAAATCTGTAAAGTCTTTTTCTGATGTTTTAAGGATTTTATGCATAGACTAGTTCTAAAATGATTTTTAGAAACACATCTCAGTGATACTCTTGGTCTAAAGTATTTGTTGTATTCATTTAGTGAAATTTGTATTTAAATAATTAACCAGATGTATTTTCTGTAGAAATAAGGGATTAAAATGACAGATTAATACAGTTCAATTGTTTTCAGGATCTGTCTTACACAAAGGGAAAGTTAATCTTGTTATGTTAATTAGATTCTGATATTTGTCCTAACATGTTGTTCCTGCAGTATTGATGCTACTATATATGTTAATCTTTCATATTTTCCATAAAGATTTATATCCTTTTAAAACAATGATCTGATATGCTTTGGACTGAAAAAAATATATTCATCGCAGATTATACAGAAAGACTGATTTTTTTCCACATTGGTTAAAAACAGTTCACAAATGCTGAACAAATAACTCTTTAGAATCTAAATTTTTAAAAATGACAAGAGATTATATAAAAATAAACATGAAGAAAACATATTCATTAAAATGCCCAATAATGAAATTAAGTGACTGTGTTTGACAGTGGTAGTATATACAATGAATTTTCCAGTAGGTAATAAATAATAGAGAAGTTAATTTCTTATAAGATTGAATCTTGAATTTGGGCATATCATTTTATTAACAGAAGAGAAAGTACACATGCACATTTGTTACTCTAGCAATAGAAGGTTTCTTTTCAGTTTTGGTTGAATCAATTGATTGTTTCTAGTGTTCTTTATATGTTGATTATGATATTTTGATAAAATCCTTTTTTTGTATTGTTTGAATTGATTTAAGGTTGGACATAAGCTGCTCCAAAGTTCACAGCTGGAGAGGCCTATAAGCCTAATAAAATAAGTTCATAAATGAATATAACAGAACTAATATAATGCAATCATAATGCATAATTATAATAAAAAAGGAAAAGGACCTGGGAAAACCTTATTATAAGCAACAATCCAGAATAGTTGATTATGTTATTAAAAATACTTGCCCAGCTTAATTTAAATTCTGACAAAGAACATGTATTAGCAATCTGTTGCTGAAAACTCTCTTTCTAAAGCGAGTTTTATGATTATTCTTTAGGCTTTGTTTATTGTTCTGGGAACAGTCATTTCTAAGGAAATATTCTGTTTAGCTGAGAAGAATATTTCAAGTTGAAGAGAATAAATGTATAAAAATCAACATGTTTTCTTTGTTAATTGCATTTAAGGTATTTTAAAAAATTTGACAAATGGTACATTTCTTGAGAAATGGTCAGGAACTTGGGATCTCTTTCTTAAAAGTTCAGCTTACATGTGACAATGCTGTTATAAATTTCCCAGATTTCAACTTATATCATTTTTGGGATCTGATTAGAAAATTATTATCTGTCATCCTTGAAATTATTGCAAGTACTTGGTTCACTTCTAATGATAGTAGATTTCAAAACTGAAAAAATCCCTCTATTTAAAATTGCAGGTGAAACTTTTTTGGATGGTATATGCATAATAAATGGGATACTTGACCTTAATAGGTTTATTACAAATAGCATGTTTAAGGTATTTGAATGATTATAAAGTAAAACAATTTACCTAAGATAGAAGGATTGCAATATTTGGGAAAGGTTGTAGAGAAGATGATAGGCCTGTAACTTTGAGGGCTCTGGAAGAAACAGATTATCTGGAGCATTTTCAGTCAAGTTTCAGGCCTTGTACAGTACAGAGATAGCATTAATTGTGCTTGTGGTGACCTCTGGTTGACCAGTATGGGGATGGTGTGACTCTCCTGTTCCTGCTTGATCACTAGGCAATCTTTAATATAATCAATTATGGTATCCTACTCCAACTTCTTGGAGGGGTGCACAGTATTTCCATGGTTCTCTTTTTTTGAGGTTATTTTCAATGGGTAAGTGAGAGAAGAGATTGACTCTGAGAGTCTTTTTTTCATGGTTTCTTCAGAGTTCAAATCTCCCTATTCCTATTTAATATCCATATAAGGCTTCTGGTTAAGATCATCTATGGACATGTACTCTGGCATTATCAGAATGCAGACACCCTATTTGTATCTTGACCTCTAACCAACTAAGTCATTGGCTCCTGGCAGATGATATGCGACCATCCTAGAAAAGTGGTAATGGGGGAGGGGAATGAGCTGAACTGGTGGCAGCACCGCATAAGCCTGAGCGAGAGATAGCTGGAGCTGCAGGGCTGTCGGGGCTCAGCGGAAGCGCCAGGATCAGTGCCACTTTCCAGCTGATCGGCGCTTCTTGGGGGCTGTCAGGGCTCAGTGGAAGTGCCAGGATCAGTGCCAGGGTCCAGCTGGAGCTCAGCGCTGATCCTGGCGCTTCTGCTGAGCCCTGAAGAAGTGCCGATCAGCTGGAATGTTGCAGCATCTCCAGGGTCTTGTGATTTACATTCAGATGCTTGGCATATGATTCATATTTATGACAGTCACAGTGTCCCATGGTCATGTGAAGTGACCAAAACCTGCTGCAACCACCCAGTAGATGGGGGGGAATAAAAACCAAACACCCCCCACCCCACCCCCGTTGCCAATCCTCAACAGAAATGCTCACAACCATGAAAACCTTGGACAGGAGGAAGAGCACTGCCGGGTGGGCAGGCAGGTGTCTTGCTCAGCTGTGGCTGGGGGGGGCACTTTTTTCAGTGCCATTGTAACTTCGAACAGTCATTAAGCAAACTGTTGTAAGTCAAGGACTATCTGTACTTTATCACTCCCCCCCTTTTTTTTGGGGTCATCAAGTTTTTGACACCTTGCTAGGCGACTGGTGGTACTTGGATGTTGCCATATCCTAAAAGTGGTACAATGGGTGAAAAGGTTGAAAACCCCTGAACTAAGTGATGCGATTGAGATAGAGAGAAACATTTATTTATTTAGTGTATGGCATATCATACATAGATTTGCCATACATATTAACATTTCACCTAGATTAATAAAACATGAAAAAATTAAATGTTAAAAAGATCAGTATTTAAATATCAATGTATAGGCCATCTAATCACTGACGCACAGCATTGTTTATGTGAAAAAAATCAGGCACTGGACCTGTATATGCTGTCAGCTTACAGTCGATCATGATATGCTCTACAGTTTGACATGGGACCCCACAGCCACAATATGCCCCATTTATACAGTGAGTTCCAACAGATGACTTGTGAGCTGTGAATCCTATTCAAATTGTTCATTGCTGATACGGTAGTTTATTGTTCACTGCTGATACTTTTTTGTGGGGTCATTTATGTCTTCCTATGACTGGATGTTCAGTAACTCATTTGACTTTCCACTGGGAATTGATGTTAAAGTTGTTGAGCAGATGTTGTGCAAATGCCAATGGAAGCTTCCTGGATTTGAGCCTTCTGGCTGTTCAATGAGGAAGGTCGGTGTGCGCCGGTAGGAGTGAGTTATTCATAATTTTTCTATATTCTCTCACTAGTACATGTTGCCTTCATAAGGTTTTACATATAGGCAAGAAAAACCAATTGTACAGATACAGATTAGGTGAAACTTGGCTTGATGCCAGTAACTGAGAGGGATCTTGGAATCCAAATGGACAGTTGCTTAAATATGAGACAGTACTGTGTGGCAGCAGCCAAAAAAGCCAATGCAAATCTAGGTTGCATCAATAGATGGATAGAATCAAGATCCCATTAAATTCTAGTATTGTTTTACAAAGCCTTAGTAAGACCACACTTGGAATACTGCATCCAGTTCTGGTCACCACAATATAAAAAAGATGTTAAGACTCTGGAAAGAGTGCAGAGAAGAGCAAGAAAGATGATTAGGTGGCTCTGTAAGCTGCCAGTTGATTTCCATTGTTCTGATTATCATCTGTATAGCTTTCAAAAACTCAGGGTTTGCTGGACCACCTCTCTCCAGTTTTGTCTGCTGTCCTGATAGTTTTAATAAATCTGGCATGCTCCAAGGCCCATCTTTAAAATGATGTAATAGGG